TTGTGGTGGCAGAAAAACACTAGTAACAAGTGGAGGGAAACGGGTAAAATCTATGGAATAAGAGAAATAATGTATTGTTGTGGCTTTAGATGTCAGAATCTGAATGCAAATAATTTTTTATGGTATACTGTCGTCAAAGACGCCATTTGAAGCTAAACTCAGACGTTTAAATGGACAGACTATGGATGAAACCTGCTATGATTACACTTTTAAAGCATAAATTTGATTTAAACAATAGGTCTATATAATATTCACATATGCAGTTCATAGGGGACATAATTGTATTAGCCCTGCAGTTACAGCATGAAATAGACTACTATTTAAACCTATAACATTTTACATAATATTTACCTATTTTTTCTCACAATCCTGACATTTTTTTTCTCGCAAATGCAAGTTTATATCTCCTAGTTCTGACTTTATAACTTGATTTAACTCAACAATTGCGAGTTTATCAATTCTAAGGGAAAAAAGCCAGAAGTGTGGGAAACTCATAGTTATGTGCCGAGAGGAAAAAAGAATGAAGAGTTGATTATTTTTTTTTTTTTTATCAGAATTGAGATATAATCTCAGAATTGCGAAAAAAAAAAACATCGAAATGACCTTTTTTCTTCTTTTATTCTATGGCTTCTCCATAGACTGCTACTTTAAAACGTCATTTTCTGCCACCAGGTAGGCTTTGCTCACTGTTTGCACAGAAGGTCTATGGATGCTCCCTCTAGCAGCTTAATTGGATTTACACAGCCATACATGTTTATAATATGCATTTACGTGACGAAGACAATAGCTAGCTAGTAAACTGTATGCTGTAGTAACGAACAGTAATGACAGTAACTCGCGGTTGAGCGGGTGAACCACTGATGCTAATGTGCTCTAGTTATTATTGTGTTAGGGGAGGTGCCACGCTCAGTGGCTCCAGTACGTCATTGAGACATGATTTCAGGCCCGCCCAAAAAATCCTGAACTCAAAAATGGTGAAAAACTGTTTAACAGTCTAACTCTACAGTAGTTCACAGTCTTTGTAATGTGTTTCAGCAATAGATTTCTAACATTTATAATGTGTTTAGAAACAATTCTCTGAATTGCCTTTACACAGACTTTAATAAAAATTAATTAATTAAATATAACTGTTCATGTTAGTCCACTACATAATATCAGATGTTAACTTTAATGTTAACTGTATGTTAATGTTAAATGTAGTTATTAGGGCTGTTGCAATTAATCGATTTTATTCGACTATTCGATTTTTTTAAATCCTCGACTTAATTTTGCTCGCGTCCACTTACTGACAAAATACCGGAAGTGGTGCATTTCACGGACGAGAATCCATAAAACACATTATTAGACTGTTTCCCAAGGCTGCATGATATATTAAACCCATTTAAAAATCATAATTAAGCATAATTGTGAATTCACAAACGCTACGATTTAATTAAATAATTATATGCGATGCAGTTCTAATCACTCTGTCTCCTCTCCACCAATAAGCTGGTGTGTGGTGGGCGTTCTGGCATAATATGGTTGCCGTCGCATCATCCAGATGGATGCTGCACACTGGTGGTGGTTGAGGAGAGACCCCCTCATGATTGTAAAGTGCTTTGGGTGTACGGCAATACACAATAAAGTGCTTTATAAATGCTTCATTCATTCATTCATTAGGGGAGGGGCCATGCTCAGTGGCTCCAATGCATCATCGAGACATGATTTCAGGCCTGCCCAAAAAATCCTGAACACAAAAATGGTGAAATGGTGAAAAACTGGAGTTTTGGTCTAACTCCACAGTTCAGTACTACATAGTTCACAGCCTTTGTAACGTGCTTTCAGCAATACATTTCTAACATTTATAATGTGTTTAGAAACAATTCTCTGAATTGCCTTTACACAGACTTTAATAAAAATTAATTAATTAAATATAACTGTTCATGTTAGTCCACTACATAATATCAGATGTTAACTTTAATGTTAACTGTATGTTAATGTTAAATGTAGTTATTAGGGCTGTTGCAATTAATCGATTTTATTCGACTATTCGATTTTTCTAAATCCTCTACTTCATTTTGCTCGCGTCGACTAACCGGCAAAATACCGGAAGTGGCGCATTTCACAGACGAGAATCCATAAAACACATTATTAGACTGTTTCCCAAGGCTGCATGATATATTAAACCCATTTAAAAATCAT